GGGGGGGGGGGGGGAGTGAAATCTCTTCCCCGCCCTCCGGTGGGATCCCGCCCCCTAATCAACAAAGTCCCCCTGATTGTTAATTAAGAGGCCTTTAAGTTTGAAGTATAATTTTGCTTTTTTCAGGTCATGTTTTTTTAAAACAGACATAATATTAAGCATTGTTACACGATTAGCCTATGGATTACTACCATGTTGGCCAGGCAGCGCAACCAAGTGCACAGGCATTCTATCGATCTTCCTGGTCATTTTACAGCTGGCGGCTTTTGGGGAGTACATCTACTGCATTATTGCTTACTGGCTCAAGCCTGGAACGAATACTCCACATATTCCTATACTTACAATGGTTATAGAACTTGGACTCTTTTCATCCGGGATTGTGTCATTCTCGTTGGCATGTCGCTTCTTCTACGCCAACAATCAACTCTTCCAGCGGTCGGAATCAAAAATTATCCCGTACGTGGAGTTCCCACTTGAGGAATCTTATGGTCCTAAMCCAATAGATTGGCTCGTTGGAAATGTCTGTCTTCTCGTTGGATTTTTAGATATCGCATTTATTATTTTTGTCGACATGGAATATAACTCCTATTTCGATTTTTATGGTATCCATGACTTCAGCTTGAAACCGACGGTTTCATTGGCTGAAAAGATCGTTTACCACCTCTACGTTGCGGTATTCACTTGGGGGTTGGTATGTGCCGTGGTKTCTTGTTGTATTTTTTACATTTTGACTCGCGATATCGTTCGCCGGGTCGAAGCAACCGAAGAGTACATAMTAGAGCATGCAAACTGCTTSGCAGAAGCAAAGAAAGCTCACGAAGACCTTCTCGAATACAGCGAAAAACTGATCCAAATGATCGAGAAATGGTTCACAGCGCACAACATATTTTTCTTCTGTATTACCCTTTGTATGATTTTCAAGTGGTTTGAGTTTACTAACRATAACAGTAAGTTTAGTCATCATCACATTCTCTGGGCCTCGGAGATCCTGGCTTCTTTTCTCATCGCCTTTAAGTTTTGCTTCCCGTTCTTCTCGGCAAGTCGTGCAACTGCGCGATTCAAGAAGATGTACTACAATATCAACAAGAAAAAACTCTTTGAAGACATTCATGAAATGGCGCGATTTCTTGAGTATGCAGAGAGATGYAATTTCGGATTCGTGGTCTTCGGTGTAAAGATAACAACCAATATGGCCTTTATCACCATAGTTACCACATTTGCCGGGATTTTTAAATCTCTTGCCGATTGAGCCCACGTACCATCTCTTGAACCGCCACCCGGCTAGCTTAGTTGGTAAGAGCTTCAGTCTTCAGTCTGTTGTGCGGGAGGTAGTGTGGCTCAAGCCACGACCGGACTAACACTCATGGACTTAAAATAACTGAGGATAAGGTRCAATTATAATTGTAGTTATATTTGCAAATGGTTAGACCTTCACGTGGCTCGGAAGACCACGAGGACCACGAATCGATCGTCAAGTACTGTCAAGTGTTATAATCTATAAACAAAATTAATTTAATGGCGGCCATCTTATCAGGGTGCCGGCAAACAGACAAAGATGATGGAAAATGATATAGAGTTTCATGTGTTTTTCCTTTCTATTATGGGTAAAGGTGATCGATGTGCCGTCTTAAGGTGGCTCCATATAGTTTTTGTACGCGCACGCGCCAGGTTGTGCAAGAGCATGCACAGTACCAGAAATTGAAGTATTTTTATTTTGATGACATCACGAAAAGTCGGTGGCATGCGTTATTTAAAAATAAATAAAAACTCGAAAACTACGTGGTCAAATATCTATAAATTTCTACAGCTTTTTCTTCGTAGAATAAAAAGGCGACTGACAATTAAAAAAAATTGGACTAACAGAAATTTTTTTATCTTGAAAAATCGATATTTCTTTAATATTGGTTTTTGTAGTCACGATTTTAATAAAACGCTGTCATATAATAGGTAACAAAACAAACTTTCCTATTGCACAATCTAAAAAAGATTGACCACGGGAAACTCGAGATTTTAATTTTTTTTATGGCAATAAGGGCCTGTTTTGTGGCTGACGTGTCGCTGCTATGGTAACTATTCACGTGATCATTTTCACGAAAAATGAATTCTAAACTCATAGTCTTTAATATGGTTAGCATAACACATATCAAGATATAGATCTGTACGTATTTGCTATAAAATAATTTCTAGTTCTATTACTCTAAACCCCGATATGAAGCCACCTTAATTCATTTTTGTAGAGTATTCTCTTGTGGTGAGTTGCTAACATTACTGTAACAAAGCTTTATTTGCCCCTGAAGGCCCCAAAATACCCCGTGATCCAAGATGGCCGCCGTATCGTCGAAGTGGTCCATTAATTTCAGGGGCGTTTAAACTTGTGGTCAATGCGCATGC